GTGACCACCCGGGATAACAGTGGCCCTATATCAAACTCTAGCTTGACCTCTGAGGGCCAGTGGATTCAATACCGGTTTGAACAAAGCAACCTTAAAGTTATCAGGTCCTTCAGAACTACTGTAAGACTCCTTGATAGTAGGAGCTGCAGGGTGGTGAGGCATGAGCAGTGGCAGGCCCTGACCTCAAGGGCTGTATTGATTGCAGAATAATGTTGATGATCATTTTGTCAGGATGCTTCTGTCTGTGCCTGCCTGCTTTCTAACATCAGTTGCCAGGTGTAATTGACCACGACGAAATACACATGTGAGGGTTGGCAGCTGGCTCACGTCTCTCCATCACTCACACACTTTGCTTTACAAAACACAGGCATATATGTTGCTTTTGGTTGGGAATTCACATATAAGTGGCAGCTTAGAAGAAAAACTACATCAAATAACAACTGATAGAAGGTCGGGTTGTGGTTTGTGCAACCCCCCCTGAGATCCCATTTCCTCTACATTATTCATCTTGCACTAAAACACTGTTTGTGCAGCTGATAATTGTACACCTGGAAATACATCATACTGGCAGGGGCTAATTTGAGTTTAAATGAGTATTGAAATAAAATTATTCCAGCCATCAATTCCTTTTTGAAGGGTTAAGACATCAGTCTGTTGGCAAGGAAAAGTTAATTATATCCTTTGGGAAGTGTGGAGGAGAGGACTGATGTAGTGCTCTGTGCTAGGTGAAGATTTATGGGAAAATAATCAGGTGTAGCCAGTCAGACCTACATTACGAAGAGAAGAGGGGGCCTGGCAAGGAAGCAGAGCTGAGCTGACTTCTCCGAACATCAGAGATGAAAGATAATACTTATCGAAAGGGGATTTGAAAACCTGCAGGAAAAATAGGTTGTTTTAAAGTAGCTGTGTTCTCAAGAACTTAAAGCTGCCCGAGGCAAGGTTCTGATGTAATTATTTGGTCAACATGTCAGCATGAGTGACTGTGGCTCAGGTGGTAGAGTGGGTCGTGCCCTGACCAGAGGGTTGGTGGTTTGATTCCTGGCTTCTCTAGTCCGCATGTCGCACACTGACCTCCATGTCGCTCTCGGTGGCTGTCCCATCGGTGTGAGTGTGTGCGTGAATGGGAACTAGCATAAAGCGTCATTGTGTAGAAACATGCTATATGAGTATCAGATGATTTACTGTTTGAGGTGCTGTTTGCTCAGCAACTGTTAGTATGATCACAGTCAGGAGGCCCTCACCGATCCAATCAATCAACCTGAGCTTGAACAACATTTTTAAAAGGATCTTGCTGACTGGGCTTGTAGGTTCACAAAACAATCTCAACTCAAGTCAGAGACACTTTCACTCTACATATGACAAAAATGCCACTTTCAAAAGCAATAAATACAAGAAGGCATTCCGGTAACAAGACCAGCGACTGAAGTCAATTTATCTGAGCCATGGCCAAAAATTAAAAACATATTTTATTTTTGCAAAGTCATTTTAAGTCAATGCTCTCAGGCTTTTTTTTAGAGCTTTCTTAATGGTAGTGGTTTGCCACTCAGGACAACAGCAGATGCCATTATAGTGTGGGTTGGTATTGTCTTTGCAGTATATTTTATTTCCTTGTTTGGCGTAAAGTGAGATTCCATTACAACAAAAAGAATACATTAACTTATTGTATGGAGTGTGCTTTGTTACAGTATGCATCACAGAAAGGAATCTGAAATGCTGCAACAAGCTTCAACAGGCTTTTTGCCATTTTTCCATAGACTAATTCCAAGTGCACAAATGAAAGTAAAGCAAATCCAGTACTGCCAGTAATCCCATATAAACTATGCATAATCACTATACATGCAGAATATTAGATCTATAGGATAGCTGCATATACAGCTGGTGCTGGTTAACCCTGTTGTGTCCAGGAGACATGTGTGATCATAAATTTTCCACTTTGATGCAGTAAAGAATTCCTCTGTGAAGCTGAGGATTGAAGAGTATAGTGAGCATAAACGTGACTCCTGGGAGTCTGTGAACAGAACACCATGGTGAAACACCACACTGCCTCCATTGTGATTAAAATAATTAGTTAATTAAGATACCATTTCTGGGAATTAAAATCCACAATTCTTTTCCCTCTTATATTCATTTGAAGTTACCAGATTATCATTTTGTGCCTGGCAGATCTTTGTTTTTCAAAAACAAGTATCATTTGAATAAAAAGCATTGGAAGTGATACAATACAGCAGCACATCTGCCTGACTACTCCCAGTGTTCTGGCAGAGCACTGGCTGTCTGAGCAGGTGACCTGTGTTTTTTCAGGGTGAACTGAGAATGAGCCTCTTCACTGAGGGTTGCGACCTGGACATGTGGAGGACTGGGCTGCCTCTGCTGGTGCAGCTCTGGAATGGTTTCCTGAAGAGAAGAGGTCTAGTGTCAGTAGCCAGGCCTGTAAGCGATGCCACCGTCTGCTGCTGGAGGCCAGGTCATGTCTCCAAAGTATACTGCGGTATTTTAAGCAGTGGAATGTTTATTTCCTTCCAAGCAGTCACTTGCTTTTGTTTATTTCACTACAGTATGACAGTTAAGCTGTGGTGGAATGTATCTAAGTATATCTAATTAGCTACTTGCTGAAAAGGATCCACTCTGTGGAAGTGACACTCTGAGTGTTGTGAAGGTCAGAAGTGGAGCGGTCTCCAGCATGTCTTAGGTACGTTTTTTTCTTTGTTTACAAGTTTTTACAATCGTCTTTGGCTAGCTCAGCAGTAGCAGGTGGTTCTTCCTGTGGAGTAGACATGGCTTGCTGAGCAGACATGAAGAAATATTTAGCTGGAGAGGGGTGTCCCAGGTCACTCCTGGGTGCCTCGCTGAGCTACTGTCCCCTGTCCCGCTGCCCTTGGCAGATCTGCACCACCACCCCCTTGCCCCCACCCATCAGACAGCTTGAAAAGCTGAGAGGGGACTGTGGTCGGCAGAGGGTTGCAGGGTCAGGCTCCAGCAGCAATTAGGCAACCATTGCTGCCCATAGAAGGAGCTGCTAACTTTTTTTGGGGGGAGGGGGGTTAATCTTGTGGTGCCAAACCATCAAGAGCCTTAAAAACAAAAATCAATAGCTTAAAATGAATTCTAAAATGAACTGGAAGCCAGTGAAGAGAGGCCAGTACCGGAGTTATATGGTCGAATTTCCTAGTACCTGTTAAAAGACGAGCAGCAGCATTTTGGACTGTTTGAAGACGAGAGAGAGACAACTGATTAACACCAAGGTATAATGCGTTACAATAGTCAAGTCTAGAGGCTATAAAAGCATTAACTGCAATCTTAAAGTCATTAAAAGAAAGAAATGACTTGACTTTACTTAGCAACCTCAGGTGAAAGAAACTAGATTTTATGATTGAGTTGATCTGCTTATCGAATCTTAGGTCACAATCAAACGTTACCCCTAGGTTTTTTACAGTTGTCTTCAAATGATGAGCCAGGGGGCCTAAGTCGTGATTAAAAGTAGCAAATTTTGCCAGATCACCAAATAAAACACATCCAGTCTTATCCTCATTAAATTTAAAAAGTTCTGAGCCAGCCAGGCTTTCAGGTCAGTCAAACAGTGGCTGTAGAGACATCCCTCCAGCTGCTTTTAATGGTAAGTATATCTGGATGTCATCCGCATAGCAATGAAAAGAGAACCCATATCTCCTTAGAAGTGATCCCAGCGGAAAAGAGAGTTGGGCCGAGTACAGACCCCTGGGGGACACCACAGGAGAGGATAGCTGAGGAGGAGGAACAGTTACCAATATTAACAAAAAAAAACTTCTATTCGTGAGGTAAGATATAAACCAATTAAGTACAGTACCACGAATTCCTATACACTGTTCCAGGCGAGATATGAGGATTTCATGATCCACTGTATCAAAGGCAGCAAAGAGATCTAAAAGCACCAACAGAACTAGATCCCCAGAGTCCCTGGCCAACAAAATGTCATTATTATTTTTAATAGTGCAGATTCAGTACTGTGTTCTGATTTAAACCCAGACTGGAATTGCTCCTCAATGGCATTATCTGTCAGAAAAGACTGGAGCTGAATAAGAACAATCTTCTCTAAAACTTTTGACATAAAAGATAATTTGGACCCTGGTCTAAAATTAGAAAACACTGAAGGATCAAGATTTGTCTTTTTAAGAAGTGGCTGGACAATTGGCTTAAGAGTGCTAAATTCATTCTTGAACTTATGGTGGGGAATGGACTGAACATTAAACTACTGTAGATTACAGCACCAGTGCTGGTTGCACTGGGTGCAATGGGAACTTGGAGGCAAAAGGGCACATACACAAAACATAGTGGCAGTTGGTGTAGAGTCTGGGGTCAAAGCTCTTGCCCTGAGATCCCTAACATACTGTATAACTCTGGACATACATTAAGTACATAAATGTAGCAAATATTAATCACGGATCCTTATATAGAATACTTGCACCTGTTTAGAAAATAGCATGAAGAATGCTCACATTTCTTTATGGATACATTGCTATGGTGTATATAAAAGGTTATGGGAGTGTCTAAAAAGTTTATTTTTAAACATGCTACGTGTGTATTGTCTTCCTTCAGTACTCTGAAGCATTTTCTACATTGCGAAGTTCTGTAAATATGTGGCCTGTGTTGAGTTGATTTTAATACTCCTGTAAGCGATCATGTGATGGAGGAGGGAATATGACACCCCGGGCTTCACGCGCACACATCTGGAAGAGACGTGCGAGTCGGGGCACACCTGTCCTGCAGCGGGACGCACGGCCCTGCACGCAGCGCTCTCATCTCAGTCAGCTCAGTCCCGCAGGCGCAGTTCTGCGGTCAGTGCTGTCAGTCTCTGACAGTGGTTTCAGCCATGGGGCGCGCCGGAATAAGGACTGCTCCAAAATGTCACAGAATATAAGCGAAGAACAAACCCAGAGCTGCGCAGAGAAGACCCAAGTGTGTGCGGATTATCACAGCACAGGAACGGGAGCAGTTTTCTTCTTACATTCACGCCCATGATCGGGAGGGCGAACGGCAAAGGTAAGACGGCTGATGACAAATGTGTTATATTCGCACACTTCCGAATTTGTTTCAAAGTTTCTGAAGCCCGTCGACCTCAATGTAAAAGCCCTTCGAAAGGGTTTAACACACTCCATTCTTTTATAACAGGTATGCCAAAATATATCAGTAGATTTTAATGCTACATGTACTGACAGTATAATGCAGGGGACTGTAAAAGCATCCGTTTGCTTTAGCCTACATCGCATTGCACATGAATATTTCAATGCATCGATTTCCAAGACAACTGAAAAGTATATTTTGAAAATCGTTTGGAGCTCCTCGATAGGCTATAACAATAAAATCCAGTACATACAAGGCAGTTAACAGTTTTGTGAGATACTGACCTTTTGCTGATGTCGAGTTGTTGCTTCACTATTTGTAACTGATGTTTCTAGCTCTCGGAGTCTAACCGGTGGCTTTATTTACGTACACTCCTCAGTGACTGCCATTGATGGAATAAGGAAGAAAGAAATCAAGTTAGTAAATTAAATAAATATTTTGCCATTTCACATAAATGTCAATGGTTTTATTTTGGAGGGTCATATTCTGGGACTAGATAAGTGTTAGCTCCCAGCCACAACAATATGGCAATATATCCTATGTGCAAAGAATACAACTACAGTATGTCGATTTATTATTACATAGGATTTTAACTCATAGATATATAATTTGATTCATCACAACAAGGTGATATAAAATCCATGCTAATATGATGATCATCAATATAATGGACATACTGAATATGTATTGCTGTGTGGAAAGATTTCATAATTGGAAGAGCAGTTATTTATGTAGTGAAATCACATAACTGAATTCATAAATACATATCCAGAGATTTCTTTTTGGACAACCCCTTTCTGCTATCCCAGCCTGTGCATCTTCCAGCAATTACATAACATCAAACAAGGAAAAAACATTTAATTTCTACAATGGCAGCTTTGTCCGTTTCTATTTAATTGTGATTATTTGTGAGAAAATGTAGATCTGTCACACGTTGAGAGAGCAGATTTGATTAACTGGAAGCTGACAGTCTGGGACAAGATTACAAACAATGTTCAACTGAGTTTCCGCTTATCAGTGACTTGCCTCCCTGTCCAAGTGTCTATTTTAAGTACATTGCTGTAAGGCAATATTTAACAGCTCTCTGTAACGTTCGTAGAACCATAATCTATTTGCCAAGAATATTACATGCAAGAAGAATTTGACTTCAGATTCTTTTACTTCATATGCTTTTATTTGGACATGAGCACATAGGTTACAAAAGGGACAAAAAGACTGACAGGCCAGTGTTAGAAGTGCTGTTATAGATGTAGTACAGTATATTTGACCTTTTTATGAATACCTCATTAAACTGTTATTAATTATTAGTTTTTATAGCACTGATTCTAAGGACTGTGTGGAATGGGGGAAGGCCCCTAGGGAATTAGCACCCAGTGTTCCAGCTCTACAGCAGGAGATCTCTTTTAGTTTATTGTTTTGTCTTTATAGACGCTGCATGTACTATAAGTCATGGTCTATTCTCATCATTCTAGCCACAGTTGGCAGTTGCTTTCAGCAAACAAGCTGTGATAAAATGTACACCACACAGTTGAGTAGCTGTGAACATAGTGGGGCATTTAAAGAGCCAGATATCTTTATCAGGAGTTGGTGTGGACCACATCTGTTCTGAAAAGTCATTGAAGGCTGGACTTGTCAAGTGACCAGACAAGCTAATTATTTGATAATACATTAGCAATAAACTTAGAAGCCAGGGATACATCTCTCTGTTTGTACTAGGTAGTTCTGAAGTTTTAAGACAGCTTTAAGCTAATTATAATAATTTAATGAAAGAAGTGCAACGACCAGCACAAAGTGAGAGGTCTTTGGGTGTACGGACTGTGTAAGTGTCTCCAAATGCAGTAAGTATGAAAGGGCTGGTGGAGTGGAATATAGGTTGAAGAGTGTTTCAATTAATCATTTTCACAGCCGGTAACATCAATGGTCTCATAGGTTTGACAAGACAGTAAATAGAGGTGTATGAATGTGGTGTATGAGATGTATGAGTCAGATCCTGCATGGGAAGGAGAGTGACCTGCTGTTGCAGAAGAGGGACTTCAACTGGATGTTTCAGATTGGTAGGATCATGTTTAAAATTTCCAAACAGTCTTTTTTTATGTAGCCAGAGGCAACTAGCTTAGCATCAGCATAGCTGTTCTCATTTAGCTGCCTGTGTTCTCAGTGTAGCTCTGCACAGGGAGCGGGCTTAACCTCGCATACCCGATTTCACCTTTGGGTGTGACATCATAATTTTTCAAAACCACTCGCTCTGCAGGTGGCAGATTCAAAATTTTATGATATGTATAAGCTGATGGTTTATATTGGTTTTATTGATATGTTACTATGTTTGTCTTTCTATGAGATGTGTCTTGAGCATGTGCTTGTGGTGCAGGAAGCCAAAGATATGTTTCAACCATGGTGGATAATAATGTAAACTGAATTGAATTGAAATTAATTGGATAGCTCCTGGTGGGGTCACCTAAGGCAAAATGGCTCCAGAGGAGGGACCAGACAAAGACCAATTTCAAGAAACCCAGTGAGCTGGACTTTTGAGAGCTGTGTCACCTCACCCAGATCAGGGAAACTGATGCCAGACCTGAAAGGGAAGATTCCGGCAAGCATCTGTTGGCTAAGCCTTAACCCATGTACCTCAAAAACTACACTGAGCCTCAGCCCCGTAGGCCCACCACCAGGGAATTGTGGTCATGAGCTGAGTGGCAGGGGGTGGTGGCAAAGTCAGGGACCAGGGCATCATAGATAGGATTGTAACAATCCATTGATCTTGATTGATGCACTGTTCAAAAGCCAATGTCATCAATGCAAAGCGTCAATCGATGTTAAATGTACCTTTATTTTGACACTCATTTCAGCAAACCACATTCACATGCATTTCCGTTACACCTTTTCTTCAAATTGGACAAATGCCAGGCAATGCAGCGTCCTAGCACTGTGTCTGGGAACTCACACTAAAAGTGATTCAGCATAGCGTCCCTGTTGTCAGAACAGCTCACTGTCTGTCAGCAGATCCTGATGATCTTTTTTTATTCAATCCAACTTTCCAAGTGAACAAGTGCACTTGCTGAACAATTGCTTTGCGTGCTGTAAAAGCCCCCACCCCACCCCACCACCCGCTCCCCTCCCCCTCAAAGCCTACTGACCGGCAGGCACAAGCTTTTTTAGTTTTTTACATCATTCAGTCATTAAGTTATACGGCTTCTTGCATTCTCTGTCAATGCTGACGACATCTGTAGTGTCCTTGGTTGAGCATTGTTTATTTTTCCTGAAGATAGTTCCAGATATGCAATGTCCAAAGAACACCTTGACCAGTGTCTGAGTGATATATCATGCTGGGGTTTCCACCGCTGAACTAGAATTTTCTTGACAGCAGTTTTTGTGTCTGTTTAGGCAGTGCAAGATTTGAGTCCTCATTCAAAAGAGGTAATACAAGATCCAGTGGAATTTGTCCATCCATCCATTTTCTTCCGCTTATCCGGGGCCGGGTCGCGGGGGCAGCAGTCTCAGCAAAGATGCCCAGACTTCCCTCTCTCCAGACACTTCCTCCAGCTCCTCCGGGGAAATGCCGAGGCGTTCCCAGGCCAGCCGAGAG